TTATGTTTATTGTTTGTCTATCTTCCCCCAGTAGAATGTCAGCTTTCCAGGAATAGACATTTTTGTCTGTTTTATTTCACTGAAGTGAACCATTTGCCACATAGTAGGAATTCATACATTTCTATTGAGTTAATAAAGGATAAATTAATCAGTCAATGACAAAAGCTATGAAAATAATCAACTTAGATGTCAGATCTTTCACAGAGGAAAAATGACTCGTTTTGATGTCACATGAGACAAAAATTGTTTGGTATATAGATCCTGGTTCTTTTTCATATTTTACTTCAAGACATTTTAAGTATTATTTTCCCCCTAGAAGCTATTTCTCCTTGGCTTTATTTGGTGGAGAACCTTAGGTAAGAGAAGGTCATTGAAGTATTTTTATTGAGGAAGAACTTGAGTGAAGACTGTTGACCAGTGAGGCAAGTGGAGGGAGTTTAACAGTACATGGAAGATGAAATGGAGATAGTTCCAAACAAACCAGACCTCCTTTCTGCTACTTTGGTTCCTATAAATACTAGGAAGGAGACTAGTTCTTCCCTATAGACCTGTCTCTCTTCCTTCTGTGATGGTCTGCAGAGAGAGTTTCTTCCTGCCTCTCTGCCAAGGCTATGGTCAAAAGAGGGGAGAGAGTTACAGAGGACAGATGTACACGAGTCAGTTCTTTTCTCCTGGGGGCATAGGAATAGCAGCGTCTGCCATATGAGTATTCTTGTGGCATAGGAAGTTGAATTGTTGACTGCTGCTTGATATTATATATACACTAGTGGCCCGGTGCACGAAATTCGTGCACATTAAAAGTGAATTAATTAGAGGAAATATTTTAATATGGCTATTTGCCCTTTCTCTATAATAGAAATGTCAGATGAAAGAAAATTAGTAAAATGTATATGAAAATCTTCCTCCTGTCAGAGTCTGGGGCATGCTGTGGGACCCAGAGTCAAGTTCCCGCCCACCTGCATGTGCCTTGAAATCATGTGAGATCCAGACCCAGCCGGGCCCACCCCCATTGGGTGAGATCCAGACCCGGCTGGCCTCACCCCATCAAGCCCCGCCGCGTGGGAGGCGCAGCCTCAGGTCCCCCCGTCAAGTCCCGCCGGGTGGGAAGTGCAGCTTCAGGGCCCCATCTAGCCCCACTGGGCGGGGGGCGCAGCCTCAGGTCCCTGCTGATCGCTCATTACGGGAACCCTGACTCTGCTGTGGAGCAGCCATCTTGTGACATTGTGAGGGTTAATTTGCATATTACCTCTTTTTATTATACTAGAGGACCAGTGCATGAAATTTGTGCACGGGTGGGGGGTCCTCTCAGCCTAGCCTGCACCCTCTCCAATCCAGGACCCCTTGGGGGATGTCTGACTGCTGGTTTAGGCCTGATCCCGGGGATTGGGCCTAAACCAGCAGTCAGACATCTCTCTCATAATCCTGGACCTCTGGCTCCTAATCGCTCACCTGCCTGCCTGCCTGATCGTCACTCACTGCCTCTGTGTGCTGGCCTGATTGCCTCTAAGTGCTCCCCCTACCAGCCTGGTTGCCCTGAACTGCCCCCTGCTGCCGGCCAGGTCGCCCCCAACTCCTCCCCCCCCCCCGCTGGCATGGTTACCCCTTACTGACCCCGCCCCCACCATCCTGGTCACCCCTTACTGCCCCCCCTGCAGGCCTGGTTGCCCCTAACCCCCCTCCCCTCCTGCCAGTCTGGTTGCCCCCAACTGCCCCCCTCTGCCGGCTTGGTCTCCCCTAACTGCTCCCCTCCCCGCCGGCCTGGTTGCCCCCAACTGCCTGCCCCCCACCAGCCTGGTTGCTCCACGCAGCCTGCTGTTCAGTCGTTTGGTCGTCCCTCACTAACCCCCCTGCTGGCCTGGTTGTAGGCAGCCATCTTGTGAGGCTGTGAGGGTTAATTTGCATATTACCTCTTTATTATATAGGATTGATAGGATTAGTATAAAAGTTGTAGAGCAGCCTCTAAAATAAAAGTCATCTCTCTGCAGTATTAATTCAAGCATTGACTATTGTCTGAATGGCATTATTTGGAGTAGTATAAAAGGTTCTGATAGCAGTTTTTAGAATAACATTCCTGGAGAGTGGAGGTTATACAAAGGAAGCTTTGCAAAATTCCTATGCACAAGCTGTCTGCCAAAGGCCTTAATGGGACCAGGATAATAGTTATAGACCCATTGTTCCCCAGGAACCTAGTGTACTAGGTAGAGGCATTAGAGGTAATACCTTTCTGATATATTTAGGGGAAAGGAGGGACTCTTCTCATCATTCATTCTGTTCTTGAGCTTTTCAGTGACCTTTGTCAGACTTGAGAAATAAGGACTGTATCCTAGCCTGGTTAGTGCTCATTTATCAGAGTTTACTTGATTAGCCAAGGTGAGTTTTCTTGTAAATGGGCCTTAGCTGTTAACTGGGCTTACCAAGAGGTACTGGCTCTGGGGAGTGCTTTATTACTTTTTGTGAAAACTTGACTAAAACTGAGAGCAGGCATTGGAGACAGATGCTCTGATTTTTCTGCTGTGTGTAGCTGGGCTCTCCTCCTGTTTGAAATTTTGGCATGAATGATTTCAAGTGTAGGTATTCTAGCATGTGCTCTTCTTGTTCCTGCCACTTATGAGGAATAACTATAAATGAATTAACTATAAAAGAGCAATTCTCTTTTTCTTTTCTTTGGTCCTTCTCATTTCAAGAACATGAAGTAGCCTCTGCCTTAGTAGACATGTTCTTCCCTGGCTTTGCTTTGGGAAGCCAGGGAAGAACTTATAACTGTAAGGAGACAGTCTTTATTGTGTGTGTCATGGTGTAGCTTCAATAATCTAGGGAGGAGCCATTAAGACCAGGGTCTGTGTGCTAAAGGTATTGGGGATATTTAGACATTGATTAGAATACGATTTTTTAAGAAGTTTGAATATGTGTATTTGTTGGACAGAATTTCTATAAAAAGTAGTAGAATGGATAAATGAATTGTGGTAAAGTTATACAATGGAATAAATACTATACAGCTGTGAAAGTAAATAAATTAGTGTTTCACATGATTATGAATTAGTTTTACAACCCCCCCCCCCCCCCCCCCAGAAAAAACAATGAGCAAGAGAAGCAAGTTACTGATGGGTACATGCAGTAGACTCAATTTATATGGAGTTCAGAAACAGGCAAAATGAAACCACATTGCTTAGTGATATGTACTTAGATGGCAAAACTGTACTAGTACAGCAGAGCAAGGGAGGGATTATCACAATGGCCAGGATAATGGTAATTGGGAGAAGGAAGGGGCTAAAGTAGAGAGGGACATGGAGAGGATCCAAGATTCTGGCAATGTTCTCGTTCTTGGGTGGTGGTTACTCAGTTATTTGTTTATCTTATTATTATTATTTTTAATATATTTTATTGATTTTTTACAGAGAGGAAGGGAGAGGGATAGAGAGTTAGAAACATTGATGAGAGAGAAACACCAGTCAGTTGCCTCCTGCACACCCCCAACTGGGGATGTGCCCGCAACCAAGGTATGTGCCCTTGGCCGGAATCGAACCTGGGACCCTTCAGTCCATAGGTCGATGCTCTATCCACTGAGCCAAACCAGTCAGGGCATACCTTATTATTTAACATGTACATTTATGTTTCAGTGTACTTTCGTATTTATATTAATATTTTATAACTTAAAGTGTGAGTTAAGGTGGAGAGGTGAAGGGGAATTGTCAGCTAAGCAGATGTGTATAGGAGAGGCTGCCCTTCGTACTCCTTCCCTTCTTCCTTTGATTCAACTTCCTTTTCCAAGGACTGTTCCTTTAGTAAGAACGCCACGTTGGCAGAACTCCACAATCCTGTATCTATGAACTTGTCAGCAGCTCTTCTGGTTTTGAAGCTTGGAAATGAGGGTCTTTCAGATCTAGTGAAGCCAGTGCTTGAGCCCAACTGTTCATTAAGTCATGTCTCACTGAGCAAAGACAACTTGAATAGTTGGGTAATGTCATTTTTTCTTTACTCCTTTTCTTCTCTTCTCCCACTTGAAATCCTCCTTTCTTCTCCCCTGCAAATGTTTAAAAGTTAAATACCAGTGAGTTTAAGAGCTCTTTTCACAGTTGCAAGGGGATTCTATGCCTGGTGTCTTTGATTAAAGAGATAAAAGGAGCTGCTGTGCTTAGGAGCCTTAAGGTGCTTCTTAGATTTTTCTGCTTCAATCACCTAGAACATGGGCTTTCTAGATCACTTCTGTATTTTTTCTCTCGTAGCCTAGACTCTGAGCGCTGTGACCAATGGAAGTGTGAGCACTGGGCTCTGGTTGCACTGCTCTTACTCAGCTTCTTCTGATGGTGTGTAGGGGCTTCTTCCTCCAGTTTGCCTTTTTGTGGGCTTTCCATGTCTTCTGCGCTGGAATGGAATGTATGGATGGAGACATTAACTTCCTAATACGTAGTTGAAAAGAACACAGGTGGTGGTGCTTGCAGGGATTACATTATAAAGGTCATTAACCTCCGTCTGACTTACCTCTTCACCCTAATCAGTCTGTTTTATGACTTTTGTAGCATTTGTTACAAAGACTAATTTGTTTAGTCTTCTTGGTTCCTGAAATTCCTATTTGTATTTCTGGGTGAGATTATTTCAGAGTGGGTGTTTCTCTTATAAAATTAAAAATAATCTTGTTCGGCCTCGCCAAATGGCTTAGTTGGTTGGAGCGTCATCCCACAGGCTGTGGGTTTGATTCCCATGAGGGCACATACCTACGTTGTGTGTTTGATCCCTGGTCAGGGTGCATACGAGAGGCACCAATCAATGTTTCTCTCTGAAATTGATGTTTCTCTCTCAAATTAATGTTTCTCTCTCTCTCTCTCAAATCAGGTGAAGAGTGAAAAAATAATAATCTCATTCATTTACTCAACAAATACTTAAGTGCCTTCAAGGTGTCAAATACTGTTCTACATGTTGCGGGTACAGTACTGAACAGTCTATATTATGGTGCTGTTGCCTCCAGATCACTCATTTTCTTTTATTTTCCTCCTCACCTTCAGGTCCTGTCAGGGTGTGCCATCATTGTCCGAGGGCAGCCTCGTGGTGGGCCTCCTCCTGAGAGACAGATCAACCTTAGCAACATTCGAGCTGGAAACCTTGCCCGCCGGGCGGCTGCAGCACAACCAGATGCAAAAGATACGCCTGATGAGGTAGGTTCTTCCTGAGGCCTCCCTGAGGCTGTGGACCCAGAGGGTAGCCCAGTCTTGACTGATGGAAGGTTGATCTGCACTTTCTTTTCTGTATATTTTGATTGTTTTTATATCACAGGAATGATGACCCTGGACATACCCACAGTGTCTTGCATCGGTTTGGTTTGTATACATTCATTGCCCTTGAGGGACCTTTTCCCTTTTCAGGTTTGTCTGTTTCCCCCCTCTATCTCTTGGAATAGATTAGAACATTTCCTAAGTAGTCTCGGCCATTTGAGGTTGGCGTTGGTTTTGGCAGAGCTCTTTTATTAATTTATGTTTGAATTCTCCACTCACATTCAAAATTTAGAAGGGTATTCAGTGAAAAATCAAGTTCTTCTCCCTAAGGACTATTGACGTTACTAGTATTTTGTGTCTTCTTCCAGGGAAATTTATTGCCTGTGCAAGTACTCTCATTTTTCTAATGGTAGCATACTATAAACACTAGACCTGTGCTTTATTACAGATTCTTAATCTGGGATCCATAAAGGCATTGGAACTCTATGAAGTTTGCAAAATTTTGTGTAAACATGAATTTTTAAGGAAGGGAGCTTTTATCAGTTTCTCAAAGCAACTGTGGCTCAATACTAGTCAGGAACCATTGTGTTATGGTGATTTGAGAAACTTCTGAGCTTTTGCTCCACCATCCCCTCCTTATCCCTTTCCCCCCCATCACTAACGCCTAACTACCTAGCTTTCCCTGTGGTCTGCCTTGGGCTCCTTCAGGTCTTACCTCTCCAGGCAGCTGCTACGAGTCCTAATTTGGTATTGTTTAGTCTTCTTGGTTCCTATAATTTCAAACATCAGCTCTTGTCTCTCCTTTAGTTGTGCTTTGGTTTTCAAAAATGAAATTTCTGGATTCTAATTATTTTTTCTTTGTTCCAACTTAATGATGTTGGACAAGTTGGTACCTCAGCTGTTTTCTGCTATTTCCCTGACATACCAGTTCATGGGGATCTTTTATTGAGGGAAAATGTTTAGTTTTTTTCATCTATAATAGAGAGTATTTTGTTTGAATTAAGAAGGCAGTGAAGGCCCTAGCTGGTTTGGCTCAGTGGATAGAGCGTTGTTTTGCAGCCCCCCCCCCCCCCCCCCCCCCGCCCAGTGCATGAATTTTGTGCACCAGGCCTCTAGTATTGACATAATAGTCTCTCTACCTTTTTTCTCCTTCTAATCCTTTCTCTATATGCTACCAGATCTTTTTGAAATATACTTTTATTTCCTTGCTCAGTGTCATTTCCAGACTTCAGTGATTCCCCATTACCTCTGTGAGAAATTTAAATGCCTTAGCCTGGGATTCAAGCCCATTTGTGGTTTGACTTTTAGTTTCTTACTGACCCTGTTCCAGATGCTAAGTTCCAGCCATGCTGAAAGATTAAGAGCCACTTAAGTTTTGCCTGCTTGTGCCTTGGCTCATGCTGCTCCCTCCATGAGGAGCTCCTTCTCCATTGGTCCTGGTGAACACCTTCTATCTCTGAAGATTCAGCCTCCTGAGAAGTCACTCCTGACATTTCCTTTTGTTGTCCTATTTTTGTGCTGTCCTAGCATTCATAGCATTTTATTGCATGTTTATATATCCTGCTCTACAGAGCTCCTTGAGAGGAGGGACCTTATCTCTCATCACATGCCTAGTCATTGCCTAATGTGAAGCAGGTGTACAGTGAATGCACATTTACATGAATAATGAGGAAAATAACCTGCATTTCTCTTTTTGGGGGATCAGTGGATTGTGCAATGTGGCACTACCCTTGTTTCTGACTTTTAATTGTTTTAGAATATGTTGTCTAATATTTTCACATTCTAATAGTCTCAAGGACATTATTGCTCATTTACTTCCCTTTGTTTTACTATCCCAAATATCATTCACTTGATTATTTTCTGCTTTCCCTCATGATATCTTCTTTCAAAGAAACCCAGCTCTCTCTCCTAAGTCCTATGGCAATAAAAGCAACTCCATAGCGTGTCCCCAGCCGTCACTGCGCTGTTGCAGGCTAATCCCCATTGTTACCTCACTGCTTCTAGGCAGCCTAGATACTGCATTGATGGGCACTGTGGAAATTATATATTTATTTCCTGCAGATTTACTGAGCTCCTCTTATGTGTGAAGTTCTGTTGGTTTCATGAGGAATATAGAAATGAATGTCATAGTCCTGTGCTCAGTGAAACTTTTGAGAGTTGGGGTGTGGGGTGGTTGGGGCAGAGAGGGATTAGTTACACATACAGGTGGTACAGTGGGATGATTAGAAGAGAAGATTAGTTACAAGAAGTATTAAACATTGGGCCAGGTACAAAAGTTGGTAGCTTTAAGGTTTTACATTGCTATGGGATTTCGTCTTGTTTCAGTAGTTCAGAAGTCTGTCTAGTCCAAAGAAAATATTGGAATTTTTAATTTTATCATGGTAGACATCAGAACCTTGCTTGAGTCTAGGAGTGGAGAGCAAGCTGCTAGATTGCCTACTGTTGGGCATTCTAAAGGGAAGAGGGAATTTTGAGTCCCAACTACTTAATGGCCATTTGCTTCTTAGATGGAGCCCTGGAGCATCGTTTGAACAAGACCACAGTACTCTTCCTGTTGGTCCTGCTGGACCTTATTTGATAAATGCTTTGAGCAAATTTCCCTATACTTGTCTCTTAAGAGTTGTTCTAGGAGGCTCTGTTGGGATAGCCTTCTCCATCAGGTAGTTTTCTGCTGGCTGTCATCTGTATGGACACTTTTACAAAGATTCTCTCCTGGAGTTCCTTGTTGCCCTTGTGAGGAGTGAGGTGGTTAGTCTCTTTCCTGATTCTCCCAGTTGCCTTTCTTCATATAATATCATGTCCAGTTAATGAATTTGCTCAGCCTGAGTGAAACACAACTTGAGAAGGCTGGTTTAAGAAAGGGATGTTATAAAAACTAGACTTATTCTTTTTTCTTACAGGATTAGGTCTATGTTTTTTCAGGCCCTCCAGTGTGACTTTCTCCCATGGCCAGTGACTGACCAGCTGTAAAATGGACTGTCTTTGGAAAAGGATGCTCCTTCAGCAAGCTTTAAAAGCTTTTAGTCATTCTGCCTAGTTAGTAGATAATGCAGGTTTCCCCATAGGGGCTAGATAGTTCCTTGTGAACTGACCCTTGATAAATGAATTTTTACCAAAGTCTTGGCCTCCTTTAGGAGGACTTGTCTTATCAGAATTTTCCCAAATGTTTAGGAAGGCAGTGTGTTACTGAATTTTAGATGTTAACATGGCACTCAGAACTAGATCCTAAGCATTATATCTATAGTTGAAGATATTTTTAGAGTAAGTGGATCACTAAGTTAATAAAAATGGTAGGAGCCTGTGTTACTAGATTCAGTAGTGTTTTTGTGATTGGTTGATAATTGGGCTAATTTATCAGTCATCAGACTCTTTGATTCAGGTACTATTTTTAATTTTTAGGAGTGGGGTAACGGGTACAAATGAGACATAAAATATATATAAATATATATATAGTCATTGAGTGATTGTTTCTTTTGCTTGTTGATGCTTTGAGGAGGAGATGATTGAGTGTAAGAGTTTGTGTCTTGGAGAGCACTTACTCAGGATCAGTTCTTCCTAGAACCATCTGCAGTTGATTTATATAACAGGACTGGTATTGTGAATACTAGCCCAGCTGGTTGCATGGCTTTTGGTTTCTGGGAAGTCATACGGATGTTTTTCTTGTAGAAAAGCTTTTTGGATAACCTGTGTAACAATCCTCATGGGCTGAAAAGGTCAGCAGAGGGTTTCTTTTCAGGTCACGTATATACTGTTGTTCCTTGCAGGGGTGGGGAACCTTTTTTCTGCCAGGGCCCATTTGGATATTTATAACATAATTGGGGGGTCACACAAAATTATCAACTTAAAAATTAGCCTGCTATAGTCAAACATTTAATTAACTTGCCTCTAATGCCTTGGCATGACCAGACCAAATGATTTCTCGGACCTTACATGTCCTGTGGACCGGATGTTCCCCACCCCTGCTTTAGGGTGGGTGGCCTGAGTTTTGTGGCTCTATGAGATTATAATAGACAGTGCCTGCTTATCGTCTGCCACTCTTCCCTTCTATACTTTGCATTTTTTTCTGCACGTGAGCTCCTGCTGATCATATGCTTCTTGAACTCTTATCCCCTCATTCCTCATTTCTGTTCTAAGGGAACTTGGGGCACTGAGCTAGGTCCAGACTGTAAATTCAAGGGCCTGTGGCCACTGACTGACAGGGCTGCTTCAGAGGAGACAGCCATCCTAGAAGTGATGGGCTGTGGATGGGACTAAACCATCCCTTTACACAGTATCTTGAGATCACATGGAGACTACTTCCTGTTGTGTAGATGTGTGGCTCACTCCTTGTGTCATTGTCAAGGTGACCAGGGCCTGTTACTGGTGTCCTCCCCAAGATCCTGGGAGATTCCCACTATAACTATAGCTTCAGACTAGAGCAGTAGAAGAGGGGAGACATTTTGGGGAGAATAGTTCTTGCCATTCTCAACTCAACTCTGTTGGCTGTTCTTAAAAAAGGTGGAGGAAATGACATAAGCAAGGCTCTTCCTTGAGTAGGGGACTCACTCTGAAATAAGAATAGCACTAGAACCTTATCTCTGCTTTGACTGTGCCTTGAACTGGTTTCAGGCCAGTTTAATATTTGGTGAAAGTGCTTCATAAATGGATAGAGGCGACCAAATGGAGGTCGTAGTTGTTATTTATAACTTCCCTTTGGCTAGGTAAGTTCCTGGAATCTGGACTTCCCGCCCAGAAGTGGGCTGATAAATAAAAAGCATTTAGAGTAGTGGCTGGTATGTGGTAAGTGCTATAAAATTATGGGCAATTATTATTCACAAAGTAAGCTATCGCTCAGAATAGACAGTGATGTGGGAAAAAGTACTCCTGCCAGTGACTGGGAGACTGTGAGGCTTGTTTTCAAGGCTGTGATAGTTAAATCCACTGCTAGACCCTCCTTTTTTATGAGCTCCCTAAGTGTGCAATCGGTGTGTGCATTTCATTTTTATATTCTTCTCAGGGCCTAATGCAGGGCCAGGATATTGAAGAAATGAACTTGAATGATGATTGTGGTGGGGAACTCGGTAGTTCTCATGTGACACATTTGTTTTGTCTCTCAGCCCTGGGCATTTCCTGCTCGAGAGTTCCTTCGGAAGAAGCTTATTGGGAAGGAAGTCTGTTTCACGATAGAAAACAAGACTCCCCAGGGACGAGAGTATGGCATGATCTACCTTGGAAAAGGTGAGTAGCAAGGAGGAAAGGACTCATTTCTCTCCACCCTGAGTCTCGGGTTCCTCCGATCAGTTTTCATATGGTTGAAGGCCAGTGTGAGTATTGGTGGAGGTAGCTCTAGGACAGTTGGCTATTGATGTACTTGGAAGTGTGAGTTCATGGCACATAGGTGCAGAGGAGTTCCCTGATATTCCGGTGTCCTATTGGCTCCTGTGTCTGCTTTCCTGGCTTGGTTTAGGTGTATGTTGTACAGCAAGCATGTCAAACTCGCGGCCCGTGGGCCGCATGCAGCCACAACGGATATTTTTCAGCCCCGCTAATATAACGGTATGTAAAAAACGTCTTAATAAAAATTACATAACTTAATTTTTACAATATCCTGTTATACATAATTATTAATAACGAACTACAACATTCGCTAATGACTGATTACTATAATTGTGTTACATTCATTTACCTTACGCACTGGCGCACCATTTCTCTCTACTACAACTAGAAGTGAATATTTTAGCAGCTGATTGCCACGTCATTAGTCTTGTATGACTTCTTTGGTGTGTGCAACAGGAAATATTTCGCTTTTGGAGAACAAGAAAAATAGGTTTATTTACGTTACGCTTATTAATTTGTGCAGTTATTCAGTGTCTGGTAAGTTAATTTTCAAGAAAAAACATTAATTTTTATTAAAATGTTCTATTATTTTATATCAGTGATTACTCATTTATTTCAGCCCTTTGTATTCAGCATGTCTCTACTGAAATCTACATTTCAATGGAAATTGAAGCTTTGTTTTTTTTTGCGGCCCCCATAAACTTAAACCTTGTTTATTTGGCCTGTGTTAGCCTTAGAGTTGGACATACTTGTTGTACAGCATAGCATCCTTCCCTGTATTTAGGCCCTCAGCCCGTAGAACGCAGTGGCTGTGTGCTTCTAGGTCACAGTGCTAATTAAATTCCTATCGATTTCCAATTACATCTTCTATTCCCTTTATCTATCTTGTGGGTTTTCTTCTGCTCATAGGGACTCTCTTTAGTAAAGGAAGATTTGTTTATGGCTTGTGGTTTTTTGTAAGCCACGTGTTTTGCAGTGGGAAGAACACAGGCTTTGGAGTTGTGTACATGTGGGTTAGAATCCTGGCTCTCCTCTCATGGACCCTTACTTAACCTTAAGTTTTCTAAGTCCTAGGTACTTCATTTGTAAGTTATTGAGAGAATTTAACGAGATAGTATATGTAAAGTACCTATATCTGGAACAGAGTATGTGCTCAATAAATACATTTGTGTATGTGCACACATAGCTAGATCAGATGGCTCATGGGATATTAGATGTTCTGGTCTTTTGGATTAGGTGGAGGGAGAGAAAGATTGTGGAATAGAGTTTGAATAGAAATAGGCCATTGAAATCCTTGGTAGAATGTTCTCTGTAAAGCTTAAAGCAGTTGTGTTCATCTGAAATTATTTTAGGTGTTTTTGTTTCCTGTGATTATTTGATAACACAACCTTCCAATTGAGCTGCTTTACATAATCTATTTGACTTGGGTAGTCAGTGCTAGAGTAAGCAAGCAGGGTAGAATGACAAGGCTAATAACATCCTCTGAAGATTCTGCTTTTAATTGTAGGATATTAGAAAAGCGAGTTGGGCATGACCTTGGAGGTGTCTTGTCGAATTTACCCAGTAGAGGAACACCACCTTTTCCAGCCTCAGACAAATGGCTATCTGCTTCTTGATTGGATGGGAGTTATAGTAATACTAGAGGCCCGATGCACAAAATTCGTGCAAGAGTAGGCCTTCCTTCCCCCGGCTGCTGGCACCAGCTTCCCTCTGGTACCCGAGACCCAGGCTTCCCTCCAGCACCCGGGACCCGGGCTTCCCTCGCAGCCCCAGCTTCCTCTGGAAGGTTGTCCAGAAGAACGTCAGGTCTAATTAACATATTATACTTTTATTATTATAGATATGGAATCTTTTCAAAAAGAGAAATAGACAGATTTGCCTTTTACACATAATTCAAATAATATAATAGGAAATAAAACACATAAGCATTATTGTTGGATGGCTACTGGTTAGAAAGAATGCAACACAAGTAGAAGTACACTGTTTTCAAAATGCAGTTGTTCAAGGATCTCATACCTAAAATAATTTCAGTTTAAAAACAGCTGGTCAATCTTCTGTTTTTCTGAAAGAGACCTCACTGTGGGCACAGATCTAAGAGTTCATTTAAATAACCCTGGTCTTCAACTGAAATGCTCAAATTGTTTATGTTAAGAGACTCTGACACTTAAAATAATCTTTAATGTTATTTTTTAAAAGTTTATTTTTAAAATTGACCCAAATTATAAATTGGATATAATTTAGTAGTTGACACATTAATGTTTAGAATAAAACATGGCACATAGGATTTGATCAATAAATATGTACTGAAAGAATGGTTGAAAATTACCTACATCTTTGAGTTTTAAAGGTTTATTAAATGGCTTAAAGTTTAATATTTTCACTCAGATACTTTAGCCAACTCTCAATGCCATTCTCATGAAAGGAAACAGTGGCTTAGATAATTGATTAGTATTCATATATTTATCCTAGTTTGTGACCATTCACTCTTTTTTTGTTTTGTTTTGTTAATCCTCACCCGAGGATATTTTTCCATTGATTTTTAGAGAAAGAGTGGAAAGGAGGGGGAGAGACAGAGAGAGAGAAACATCGATGAGAGGGAGACACATAGATTGGTTGCCTCCTGTGCCCCAACCAGGGTCAGGGATTAAGCCTGCAACTGAGGTACGAGCCTTGACCAGAATTGAACCTGGGACCCTTCAGTCCACTGAGCCAAATCAGCTAGGGTGCTACTCACTCTTTTTATGATAGGGGAGAATGGTAGAATTTAAGAAATTGTAGTTAACCTAGAACTTACTAAAAAAAAAGATGATTAGTCTTCCATCTTTTGGAGAAAATATAGTTACCCACCTACTCTTCATGCCATCCTCAATTGTGACTTGATCAGATTCATAAGTTGATGGGTAATAAGAAAAGCAGATGCGTGCCCTACAGATTTCCTGTTGTCAGTATTCTCTCTACCACATTTTGTTGCCTTTCTTGGGAGATTGGCCCAGAGAAATGTATTTTTCTCCCTTTGAAGGAGCAATCAGAACTAAATTTTTAGAAGTGGGCCTGCTGACAGGCATTATCAGAGTGCTCTGTACTTAGAAAAGTATCTGTTTGGTGTGCTGTTGATTGGTCTGGTTTTATGGCCAGTCACCTTGTTTGTACCCCAGCTCTGTTCTTTTCATCCCCAGCCTCTTGGCCGGGGATGAAACCGTTCAACCTTTCCCTTATTTGTTGAATCCTTCCTTTTCACTTTTCATTCTTTGTATTCCTGTTGTTTTGAAAGAACCAATGTAATATTTACTAATGTCAGATAGCTGTGTGTGTCTGGCCTCAGCAGTTACCTCCGTGCAAAGGTTCTTGTGATCCATGCTCAGCCTCAGAACCTGGGTGTCTTTTGTGTAAATATCATTCATCTTAACTTTTCTTGGTAAGAAAAGAGGCTTACAATTTGCCTTGAAGAAATTGGGGCATGCTAATGGCAAGGCATTTAGGTTGGGTTTGGGGGTGGTGTGTATACTTGTTTGCTTGCAGAAGACGTATGAATATAAATCTTACAGAACTTTATTCTGTGCTGACATTACCTATCAGCTAGACTACTGTGTTTCAGTTTATCTAGGAGCTTGTTTTCTGCCACATTAAACATTTTTATGTGGTGATTCCCTCATAGATGGCTTCCTTTATTGTTTTGGCTGACAAGCAGAGATTTAAGAGAATACACAGAACCTAAAAGCTTTTTCAGTAGCATGGAAATGCAATTAATGGTTCAAGTGCCCAGGTAAAACCTAATCGGGTTGGGTTTATGTTTACCTTTATTTTTCTTGCCTGCTCTGAAGGCTGCTGTTTGAGAGGTTAGAAATCTAGACACTGTCCCCTGCGTGTCTGTGAGAGCAGGAGAAAGTCTTTGTCAAACTGCGTAGCTTGTCTTGGTGTCCTGTTGGAACAAATGAAAGGACACCCTGAGAGGAATTGGACTTTCTGGTGTAAAATGTAATAGATAATCCTGAGCAAATCTGTCTATCTGATTGTATGTATAGTGTGTTTTTAATTCCTATGTACTTGGATATTTACGGACATTATTGTTTAATTCTTACAAGAACCCATCTAGGCAGGGACTCTTCTCATTTTATAGAGGCGTAAATTAATGCTGAGAGACCTTGTCTAAGATTTTACGTGGCAGAAGGTGTATTCAGCTCCAGGCCTTCCTCCTCAGGTCAGTGCTCTGTATACCCTCCTTGGGTGCCGCGTGTGTCTTGCTTTCTTGTCAATCTCCAGTAGTTATTGAGATTGCCTTTGGCCTGGGAGAGACACAAGAAACTTAGAAACAAAGTCCCGAGAAAAAGATTTATAGACCTTTGGGACTTAGAAATGAGAGATTTTGGGAGAAAAGTTTTTCTGAAAAACACAACACTACATTGCTGCCTTGTCCAATTCTCTGGCAACATGATTCTCCTTGAAGAGCTAAGGGTGAAGGTGGGTTTCATTTGAGCACATTTGAATCTTGTGTTTAATTTTCTTTTTTTCTCCTCAGATACCAATGGGGAAAACATTGCAGAGTCTCTGGTTGCAGAGGGCTTGGCCACCCGGAGAGAAGGCATGAGAGCTAATAAGTAAGTCTTCATTACTCTCTGACCCTCTGACTTCCTTCTACGCCACTGTGAGAGCTGGGGTTGCTCAAGGGAGATTGGGTTGTCAACTCTACATTGGCTTTGCTGCATTTTCATTGCTCTCCCCTGACATTAACTGGGTAAGCGCTGGTGCTCTCTGGCTTTTAGGACATTCCTGCCCAGGTGTGGATTATTCTGAGCCAGCAGGTCATTCACCATTTGATGTGTGTAACTCCTTTAAAAAACAGGCTTTGATACAAGGCAGCTTTAGTCTTTATATCATAAGACTCAATAGGCTATGTCTTAAACCATAAATCAGGGGTGGGGAACCTTTGTTCTCCCAAGGGCCATTTGGATATTTATAACATCATTCGAGGGCCATACAAAATTATCAACTTAAAAATTAGCCTGCTTTGGTCAAACATTTAATGCTTTGGCAGGATCAGACCAAATGATTTCGAGGGCCTTATGTGGCCTGTGGGCTGGATGTCCCCACCCCTGCCATAGATCTTCAGCTCCAGAATATCTATCCATCCATCTCAAAAGATTCATTGAGTACTTACTATGTGCCAGGTTCTGTTCTAGACACTGAGAATAGAGCCCTGAGCAAACATACGTAGCTTCTGCTAACATTTTAATGGAGAGACAATAAACAAATGAACAAATAGATATCATGTGCAAGGAATAAGTTCAATGAAAAATAAAGTGGAGAGAATAAATAGAATTCAAAGCAAAATCTGCTTAGAATTTAAACTAAGAGCTCAATGGTTTGTTTTTTTTAAAGTAAGGGAAATTTTCTCTCTCTCCAAAGCCTTTGAAGTCTGTTTTGGTCTATGAATCTATAGATACTTAATTAGTAGTAGGTAAAAATGGATTTGTTTAGCTAATGGCATTGTGAACTTATTAGAAATGAGTGTAATATATGGAGGCTGTATAGCACATGTCATGTTGTACTTCACCAGTGTTGGCGCTCAGTAGGATGAATTGCAGCTGACTTTAACACTTTAGTCTCTGAAAAGTGATAAGCTACATCAGTAATTTGGAGGCTAAAGATGGTGTTTAAATCATTAAGTGCTGTGTTATATGACTGTTGTCACTGTAGAATGGCTTTGGATAATGATGGGGATGAGCAAAGGCAAAGATGCACTTTTTGCATTCTTCCCGTCTTCTTGGTCTTGGAGCCCAGTCTTGGTCTTGGAGCCCAGTCATTCACCATAAACTTCTGTGTCCTTTCTGACATCATAGAATCATTTGCTGGGAATTTGTTGAATTAAAACACTTGTCTTAGGTGGTGTTTTTGGAAGCAAGCTGAAGTTGTATCTTAAGGACAATTGCTGGCATGATTTTAGGACGTTCCCCACCCTTGCCATAGGTATTCAGTTCCAGAGTATTTATCCATCCATCTCAAAAGATTTTAGGAATCCAATTTGCAATTTGCTACCGGGATGAAGAATTTTTAAAAAGCTCATTAGTAGGATTATAGGATCTCAACAAATAAATCTCCACTGGTGTACCAATCCTTTTTTTCTTCAAAGTTGTCTTTTTATTTTTTTAATATATTTTTATTGATTTCAGAGAAGAAGGGAGAGAGATGGAAACATCAATGATGAGAGGGAATTGTTGATCGGCTGCCTCCTGCATGCCCCACACTGCTGAGCATGTGCCCTAACCGGGAATCGAGCCACGCCTGCTGAGCTCTTCAAAGTTGTCTTGACTTATAACCTCCTTTTCTCGGTTTTAAGGCTTGTTTCTGTCTCTTAAGCTACATTTTTTTCTTTTTTCATTGAATTCTGGATGTGATTTTGGTTCCCTGAGGATATGATTGTCTTTTTGGGTGGGGTTAGAAAGGTAGTTAAGACTTCTGGTTTGAGAAATTATAGGCAGGGGTCCTCCTTAGCTATTCCTACTGATCGAGGTGGGAGAGTCCATTTATGCCTGCAGCCACTGATGGACCCGGCATCCAGGCTGTGGAAAGGCCATGCAGGTTGCTCGCACATGTGTGAGAGTGAAGAGCAGAGCCATTTCTGATTTTGTTTTTTATCTGCTGACTTTCTGGCTGCTCTTGTATGTAGTGTGGTTTCCTGCCCGATGAAGGAGTCGTCTTTCATTTTCAAACTGCTGTTGCTTAGCTGGCCTTAGTGAATATGTATGTAGTTCTGGGGTAATATCTGCAGTAACAGTATTTGCTCTGCATTCTCCAGCCCTGTTCTGTGGACAACGGGGGTAAGGGTGGTTCTTCGTCACTTTCTCTGCACTGTGTCCTGCTGGGCTCTGCCTGGATTTCAGTTCCCGAATCTGGATAGTTAAATGAAGCTGTACCCCCTGGAGCAGCTTCCCTCTGAGCCACCAACTTGTTCTCTTGTAATCACTGATGGTGGCAGTGCTGAGATAGGTGTTTTTTGGATCTTCTCATTAAATGCTCTTACATTTGAATCTGTTGTTGAAACAAATCTGTAATCCTGAAGTTGCACTCATGGTGTTTTTCCGGTTATAGGCTTGGGTCTGAAGCTATTGATCTGAAATAAATGTTTTGGTCTCTTCAAAGGAGACCCTGGCATTTCTGTTGTGAGCTCACTAACCACACATGTTTATTTTTCATGTCCCAGTCCTGAGCAGAACCGGCTTTCGGAGTGTGAGGAACAAGCGAAGGCAGCCAAGAAAGGGATGTGGAGTGACGGGAATGGTTCACATACTATCCGGGACCTCAAGTATACCATTGAGAACCCAAGGCACTTTGTGGACTCACACCACCAGAAGCCTGTTAATGGTGAGGCTGGCAGGCAAAGACAGATGTGACGCGGGGTGATTTCTTTCTATTTGCTCTCAAGCTGCTTGAGATTTATAAAGCTATTTTGCTTACTTACTATCCAAGGGGACTTGTTAAGGGTAAAATAGCACAGTGGTATTTTGGAAGAAAACTTGATCCAGTTCACATGGGTGACATCAGACATACTTTGCAGGGGTTAGTCTTTGCTGGTGTAGGGTGGCAAATGGCTGGTATTTTTGCACATTGGAGATCTTCCTGTTTTCTAAAAGAGGGCTACTTAAATACCGTCCTTGTAACCGAGGTAGACATGTATATTCTTTATACATCTAAACACACGCACACACAATATAGTTCTGGCCCTACTTTGAGACCTTGTTAACACTGACTCAGTAAAATAAAATGATTGCTAATCCTGAATTGTTGTTAATTAGTTTTTACTGGGCATGTCCTACTAAGATGAGCAACTTACCGTCCTGATAACAAAGCTTAGGTATGAGCCATGAGGTCCCAGAGGGTTCAGAAGACATGGAAGGCTCTCCTGATCTGTGTTCCCCAGGAATAGTTGTGGAAGAGTCTGTTGTGTGAATACTCATGATCTGCCAGCGCTTCATCATTTTTCAGAGGGAGGCTTTCCAGAGGGTGTTGGGGAGAGGAACTGTGTTCAATGCGGTTTGATTGGGCATTGTTTATCCCTGGCCTGAGTTTTGCTAATGACTTAAGCTATTTATTTTGTCATGTAGCTATCATCGAACACGTGCGAGACGGCAGTGTGGTCAGGGCCCTGCTCCTCCCAGATTACTACCTGGTTACCGTCATGCTGTCAGGGATCAAGGTCAGACCACTGGACTGTGGGGTGGGTTTAGGGTTTGTTGAAGTGTTCAGTCATAGGCAGATTTTTCTACTTGTGGGCTTTGGATCTGCTGTTTCTTCCTAGAATGGGCCATTAGTGTTGGCTAGAGTACTTTAAACTTTGCAGTGGGACAATTCTAATTAATATTTTTTAAACTTTTAAGTACTCAGGGTCTGTTTGGAGTGGGCTGTGCGGAGAGATTGTTGAAACGTAGCAGTGAAGGATGGGAGGCTCTGAAGTTTGCTGAGTTTGGCTTATCTTAATGTGAAATACACATTTTGATTGGGAAAAAAAAATGCCAAGGCTTTAATGCCAGACATTGATGAGTTTTTTTCTTGGCAAGGGGTCATTTCCAACTGATTAAAGTTATTTTCCCCATGATAACATGAGCTTTATTTGGCTTACCATGAAGTCTGAGATGATGCTATTTCCAGTTACTTTTCACCAGAATGTTTTGAAAAGTGTTGGAAGACCTGCCCTGAGACTTTCCCCGTGTAGCCTTGTTGGATTGTGCTTTCTGGACGGCTCGGTGTGGTGTGTATTGAGCACTCAGGTTTAGGCTGCGTTACTCACTCACCTTACTTTTGCTGTAGTGCCCAACTTTTCGACGGGAAGCAGATGGCAGTGAAACACCAGAGCCTTTTGCTGCAGAAGCCAAATTTTTCACCGAGTCTCGACTGCTTCAGAGAGATGTTCAGATCATTCTGGAGAGCTGCCATAACCAGAATGTTCTGGGTACCATCCTGCATCCAGTGAGTGTTCCATGCCGGCTGGGCTGTATGGGTTTGTTGCATCTACTGGTTTTTGCAGCATTTGCAAAGTGAGATGTCACTTATCTGATAGAATTGGGCAGATCTGTGCAACTTCTCACTTTTAGGAAATTAATCTCAAATGTGACTGAATTTACAAGCGGGAGAGGAACAATGCTCTCACTTATTTTTCCAAGTGTTGGTCGTCGAGGTTGTGCACAGGAAAGGTGGGAGGTTGCCACATCAATTAGAAGGGGCACTGAAACTTGCACGATAGGATTGCGAGTTTGCATGTAGGTCTAGAAGTTACCTATTTGGAGTATCTGTGAACTATGATGAGGAAATCTTTATGGAAAAATTATTCTGTGTATGCCAGGTCTTATCCAGTTTCTCCCTAACTCGGCTATTGAGCAGGAAATAGATTCTTTATGTTCCGACTGTTGGTGAATTGTACCTTATGGTATACTTTGATAGGCGGGTTAATTCTTGGACAGAGAATGACCTTGTTTTTTAACACCCAAGTTTAAGTGGATTTTCATTATTATAACCAATACGGAGTAGACTACTGTTACTTATAATTTGGCTAGAGAATTCTTCCTTCATGGCAGTTGTGAAGGCTGGGAGGCTTGCTTTGGAATATGCCAAGGTCATGTCTGTTTCTTCTGGAGTGCTAGCTGTCTGCCCGTGCCCTGCCAGATGGCTCTGTGTCATAGCAGAATGTGAACTGTAATTCATTGGGCAAAATGTAGCTTAAGTTATTCCCTTACTCAGCTCGTTCTTCAGCTTTCCCCTTATGAAAAGGGAAGTAAGTGCTGATCTTAGCGAAGGAAATAATAAGGTGTAATCTCCACTAAAGATTAACATCCTCCTCTGCCCACAAGAAGAGCTATTGAAATGTCAATTCCATTCAATGCCACTAACATTTATCCTGTTCCTATTAGGTGAGAGTTACTATGCTGGTGTTGTGAGGATACGAAGCCAGGTTTGTGGAGAGGAGTCACAGAGTAGCTTGTCAGTCTTAGGGCTGGTTTCTTTTGTTCTTTTTTTCGTTAGGGCTGGTTTCTTAATGAGGAAACTGGCTCTACGGTTTTATTTTTGGGATTGTTGTTATTTAAATGAACTGCAGACTAGATTGTGACTATGATAATTGTGTCAGAGGACTAGAGAAATTACTCACTTGCCATTGAGTTTAATCTGTGCCTGCTTTCTCATGTGCCTTGTTTTTCAGAATGGCAACATCACAGAGCTCCTCCTGAAGGAAGGTTTTGCACGCTGTGTGGATTGGTCGATTGCAGTGTACACTCGGGGAGCGGAGAAGCTGAGGGCAGCTGAGAGGTAAGGTCTGTCAGGGAAACCTTCCAGCCAAAGATCTTGTTAAGGATCTTTGGGGAAAGAAATCTAGTGATCCCTCACTCATCTACGCCAGGGTCCGTTTTATTTCAGTAAAGGATTAGGGAAATTACACCAGAGGCTAGGATCTCACCGAGGACTTTTAAGTCTTTAGGTGAAGTGGAATTCAGTGCTGTATAGTAAGGACTTAGATTTTTACTCGACATTATTGTTCACCTGATGTGCTTTTTTAATGTTTTCAGGTCACTTTTTTTCTTTTACAAGCTTTTCCAATTCTGGGTTTTAGGCATTTGGGATGGAATAAACTCGAGGTTCATTTGAGGGCAATGAAATTGCTTACCAGCTACTCCCAAACAGGCAGGTTGGAGCCAGGGATATGATGGAAAGATTGAGCCTATGACCTAACACAGGATCATTCAGTGCTGTTGTGAGGCCTAGTGCCCTAATTTATTTAAAAGTATGTTTTAATTATAACTGCTAATGCAACTATGGGGTGCTATTGTCATGTTTTTGGCTAGGTGCAGATGTAAAAATAACTTCTTCCAGAAAAAAAGGATAGTGGATATTCCAAAGATTGGGGGTATAGGTGAAGCTCATTCACTTGGTGGGGTAGATGGAAGCAGATGAAGCAAGAGAAGATGAATAGACAATGGTCCGGGAAGTCCCAGACACCACCACCCAGGATATATGTAGCAAAGACTACTGACCACTGATGACGATGTTCCACTCTCCAGGCTCGTATAGCTCATTTCTCAATTATAAAATTACTAGAGGCCTGGTGCACAAAGTTTGTGCACGGGGGTGTGTGTCCCCCAGCCCAGCCAGCACCCTCTCCAATCTGGGATCCCTCTCACAATCCAGGACTGCTGGCTTCCAACCACTTGCCTGCCTCCCTGCTTGATTTCCCCTAACCACTTCTGCCTGCCAGCCTGATCACCCCCTAACCACTCCCCTGCCAGCCTGATCGATGCCTAACTGCTCCCCTGCCAGCCCAATTGCCCCCAACTGCCCTCCCCTGCCGGCCCGATTTCCCCTAACTGCCCTCCCCTGCAGGCCTGATTGCCCCCAACTGCCCTACCCTGCTGGACTGGTCACCCCCAACTGCCCTCCCCTTCAGGCCTGGTCACCCCCAACTGCCTTCCCCTTCAGGCCTGGTCACCCCCAACTGACCTCCCCTGCAGGCCTGGTCACTCCCAACTGCCCTCCCCTGCAGGCCTGGTCACCCCCAACTGCTCTCCCCTGCAGGCCTGGTCGCCCCCAACTGCCCTCCCCTGCTGACCATCTTTGACCACGTGGGGGCGGCCATCTTGTGTGTTGGAGTGATGGTCAATTTGGATATTATCTCTTTATTAGATAGGATACTGGTCTTGATAACTTCGCATTTTTGCCTTTGAGGCACACAGCTGAGAGATGTGCAAGAACAAGAATTGAATGCCTATAATTTCCTTCCCTTCTCTTAGGTCTTTTACATCCTTCTACACCTGTAAGCAGGAATACTTGCAACCTTTTATTAAAATAGGTTTTAATCTGGGGCATTTGATATGGTATGTCTGACAAAAGTAGATTAAGAAAAACAATTATTATATTAAAGTTGTATTAGTCTTTAATGTTACACAATTACATTCAATTCAGAGATGCAATACTCTTTATCAAGTACAGCATTCCAAATATCTCTGATTAATCTGTAATGCTCAGGTTTTTTTTTTGTTCAGAAAATCTTGTCTGTTATTCTAAATTATTACTTTGGTTCATAATGGTTATTGCATTCTTTAAGTTTCTGCCTCTCTGAAGAAAGTGAGTGTAATGACAGTAGTATCTACATGTTTTATAACATCTCTGGGAGATTTTATGGATTTTTCAGAGTGCTTATCATTATAAAAGAGGTTTAGATCAAGGAACACAAATTATATTTAGATGACGTGATTACTTGCCTGCTGTTTTGCATGCTGTATTTGACTTGGTTGTGTTGCTTGTAAATCTCTATCAAAGTACTTCATGTATTTTAAAACTACTACAATGTGGCTTTGTCTTTTTCTCATTTTGCCATTTCTTTAAAAACAGTTGCAATACTGTTTTTGGAATATAGTTCCTTTCCCCTGCACATGTATCCATTGATTTGTAAATACTTGAAACAGCTGCTCATTGATTTATTTTTTTAAAGCTTTGCAAATATTCCACTTACCTCTCTCAGTCTGACTCAAAGAGTATCTACTGGGCTTAGTACTTGAAAAATTTTCTGCCAACATGATTTCTTTACTCTGTTGTTGTTAATCCTCCCCTGAGGATAATTTTTAGAGGGAGGGATGGAGGGGGAGAGAGAGAGAATGGGAGAAACATTGATGTGAGAGAGACACATTGATTGGTCGCCTCCCTAACATGCCCCAACTTGCAACCCAGGTATGTGCCCTTGACTGGGAATTAAACCCGTGACCTTTCAGTTTGTGGGCCGATGCTCTAACCACTGAGCGACCGCTCCGGCCAGGGTGATTTTTTTTTTAAAATTAAATCTTTATTGTTCAGATTATTACAGTTGTTCCTCCACCCAGTTCCCACCCCACCCTCTGCCCTTACCCCTCTCACTGTCCTCATCCATAGGTGTACAATTTTTGTCCAGTCTCTTCCTGCACTCCCACACCCCTTTCCCCCCAAGAATTGTCAGTCCACTCCCTTTCTATGCCCCTGGTTCTATTATATTCACCAGTTTACTCTGTTCATCAGATTTTTTATTCACTTGATTTTTAGATTCACTTGTTGATAGATATGTATTTGCTGTTCATAATTTTTATTTTTACCTTTTTCTTCTTCCTCTTCTTAAAGAATACCTTTCAGCATTTCATATAATTCTGGTTTGGTGGTGATGAACTCCTTTAGCTTTTTCTTATCTGTGAAGCTCCTTATCTGACCTTCAATTCTGAATGATAGCTTTGCTGGATAAAGTAATCTTGGTTGTAGGTTCTTGCTATTCATCACTTTGAATATTTCTTGCCACTCCTTCTGGCCTGCAAAGTTTCTGTTGAAAAATCAGCTGACAGTCGTATGGGTACTCCCTTGTAGGTAACTGACTTTTTTTCTCTTGCTGCTTTTAAGATTCTCTCTTTGTCTTTTGCTCTTGGCATTTTAATTATGATGTGTCTTGGTGTGGTCCTCTTTGGATTCCTTTTGTTTGGGGTTCTCTGCGCTTCCTGGACTTGTAAGTCTATTTCTTTCACCAGGTAGGGGAAGTTTTCTGTCATTATTTCTTCAAATAGGTTTTCGATATCTTGCTCTCTCTCTTCTGGCACCCCTATAATTCAGATGTTGGTGCGCTTGAAGCTGTCCCAGAGGCTCCTTACGCTATCTTCGTATTTTTGGATTCTTTTTTCATTTTGCTTTTCCGGTTGGGTGTTTTTTGCTTCTTCGTATTTCAAATCTTTGACTTGATTCTTGCAATCCTCTAGTCTGCTGTTGGGAGTCTGTATAATATCCTCCATTTCAGTCAGTGTATGCTTAATTTCCAGTTGGTCCTTTATCATAACCTCGAGGGTCTGACTAGATTTCTTGAGGATCTCACTACATTTATCGGCGGTCTCACCAGACTTTTTGAGGGTCTTACTAAATTTATTGGCGGTTTCTGGAAAGTTCTTGAAAAACCTTAAAAGTGTGGTTTTGAACTCTATATCCAGTAGTTTGCTTTCCTCCATTTCTGTCATTTGTGACCTGTTTCTTTGTCTCCGCATTTTTTATGCTTCCCTGTGTTGGTAGAGTGGCTTTGTGTGCTAGGTGTCCTATAGGGCTCAGTGGCTCAGCCTCCCCAGATACCTGAGGTGGACACTCTTGGTGCACCCCTTTGTGGGCTTTGTGCATAGTCTTGTTGTAGTTAAGCCTTGATTGTTGTAGGTATCACTGGGAGGAATTGACCTCCAGGCCAATTGGCTGTGAGAATCAGCTGTGTCTATGGTGGGAGAACTTCTGTACTGGAGACACCCTTCTGGGGCAAGACTTGCTTCAGTGGGGCTTTGGTGCTCACTGAGTCTGCCCCCTGAGTGTGTCCCTTATGGATCTGAGGAGTTGTAATTGGATGGTCCCACTCTGACCACTGGGTACACTGGCTCTTGGATCTAAGGAGGTGCTAATTTAGCCTCTGCCTGAGGCTACCCAGCAGGAGCTACGAAAGAGATCTGCAGATTCCCCTTCCTTGTTTGGGGTTTGGAGGTGCTCAGATGAGGCCCAGCTGTGAAGCAATGCAAGCTGCTATGGGGCCTTGGGCCTTCTCTTGGAAGTTCTGGGTCTGTCTGGCCCAGCTGCCGTTTGTTAGGTAATTTTCAGATTGCAAAGGGCCAGGGCATTCATATGCAAAAGCCTCTGCATACAGCTTGGGTGGGGCGGGGTCTCAGGGAATTAACAGGGCGGAGCAAAAAGCTATGGCTGCTCCTCAGTCCTACCCTAAGAGGCCCCGGGTCTCAGTGTCCTGGTAATCGCTGCAAGCACCTCTGAGAGAAAGCCGCCCTCGAGTTCCGAGTTCTGCCTGCTGCCAGACAGTCCAGTTTCTCCCCGTATGAGTCTGGGTCCCCAGAGACTTCCCGGAACTGGAGTTCAGAGCAGTCGGGAGCTTGTGACTCCCTCCCGACTCAAAAAGATTAAAAAAGACAGCCGCGTCCTCAGTTGCCAGCCCTTGCCGCATGCGCCTCGGTACCTCTGCACTTTACTTCCGTACCTCCTCTGAGTCTCAGTGTGCTTTTCTCTTTCCTTCTAGTTGTAGAATTTCCACTCAGCCAGCCTTACTGTATTTCTGGATGATGTATGTTTTGTCTTTTAGTTGTATTTTTGAAGTTGTTGTGGGAGGCAGCAATTTCTGGTGTTTACCTATGCCGCCATCTTGGTTTCTCCCCAGGGTGATTTTTAAAAACTTTTTGTTCGTGAACTTCTATTGTAGTTTTCCATTTTTCTTTCTTTTTTAAAAAATTTTTAAAAATTGTATTGATTTTTTACAGAGAGGAAGGGAGAGAGAGAGTTAGAAACATCAATGAGAGAGAAACATCGATCAGCTGCCTCCTGCACACCTCCTACTGGGGATGTGCCTGCAACCAAGGTACATGCCCTTGACCGGAATCGAACCTGGAACCCTTCAGTCCCCAGGCCGACGCTCTATCCACTGAGCCAAACCGGCTAGGGCTTGTCCATTTTTCTTATTCTTTAGATGCACACAGTGACAACTTTGTTTGTGTTTTCCATTTAAGATTTGGGTAGCTGATAACCTTTTCATAATTCAAATGGAAATTGAGCAGGCCTATTTATTTAAAAAAATATAGTATGGGGCAAAAGTAGGTTTACAGTACACGAAACACAGTTCATTCTTGTATTATTTATTAATTATTAATGTATTTTCCATATGAACAACTGTAAACCTACTTTTGCCCCACCCTATATATTTGTTTGTTTAATATATGTATTCTTCCCATTTAAGAGAACATTTGCTCTGTTTGTCATTCCAGTGCCTAGCACATAGTAGTCACTCAGAAGATGCTGGATAAGCCAAAGAGCTAATTATCAAGGTGGACTTGAACTGTCCATGTTCAAAAAATTGCATATTTAGATCTAATCTACCATTGATGGGTTTGCGGTTTATATATTCATCTTGGATAGCTGCGTATACACTTTTTCTTGTGGCTGTTGTCACACTTTAATATAACTTGACTGATGGCCTTTCTCCTGGGTGCCTTGTCAGTGGTAGGATTATGTACTGTTTGCTTCCATGGTGATGGTGGATTCCCTTTGCTAACCTAATCTGTCTGAATGATTTGCATCCTTGCTTTGTTGTCAGGTTTGCTAAGGAACGCAGGCTGCGGATATGGAGAGACTATGTGGCTCCCACTGCTAACTTGGACCAAAAGGACAAGCAGTTTGTTGCCAAGGTGAGTCATTCTCAGCATCTTGAGATGCATAGTGATTGTTGTCAGGCTATTGATAATACAGAAATTTGAACAATCAATCAAAAGCTGAAGCATTTTTATTTCAAGGCAAGCCAGTGGTGTGTAGAGGTGAATGCATGATCGTACATGTGTGTTTATGGTAGGGGACTTAGACACCATAGGAACTTTAAAATTTCTTTTTGTAAATTTGCATAACTTCATTAGAATTCCAGGTGTTAACGTTGTGGACATTGCCATATTGAAATATCACTTATATTTTAGGGGTTCTTTTTGTCTGCTTAGAAAATGCATTCTTTTAGATTTCCTATGCCCAAATGTGTATGACCTCAAGTTTCTCTCTTGTTTTAGAACTCTCTTGGTTTTGGATTTTTTCTAATGTGATTTTTTTTTTTTTTGAGAGCTCTCCACTGCTGTGTCCTGGAATGGATTTCTTTGATGGAAACTAGAACTACTAAATAGATTATTTGGTTCCAGTAGTGGTCTATAAAAGTGTTTTTTTCTTGCCCTGGCTGGTGTGCTCACTGGTTAGAGCGTTGGCCCGTGAACCAAAGGACTGAGGGTTTGATTCTTGGTCAAGTACCTGGGTTGCAGGTTAGATCCTCAGCCTCAGTTGCAGTGCATTTGGGAGGCAGCCAGTGGATGTCTCCCTCCCTCACTCCCTCCCTCTAAAAATCATAAAGCGTTTTTCTTAGTTACAGGCTTTGGTACCTTGGTGGGGCAGACCTGTTCTCATTTTCCTCAAATGCTGTAATGTTTTCCATCCTATTTTTACTTTTGGCAAGAAATGCCGGACACTTTGTCTTTATGGACTAAAAGTGGTTAAATATTCATATCCTCTAACTGAGAGGTGGCTGTCCCAAATGTCGCCTAACAGTTTAATATGGAAAGCCACTAGGTGGCACTGTCAGCCCGAAAAATCCTGGAACGATTTATCTTAGAACAGTAAAATTTTAACAAAGTCTCTGAGGAATTGGCTGAATTTCTTCACTTTCTTTTTTTATGATGCTCAAAGGAATAGGTCACAGTGCTCAAGTGGTCCCTTTCCGTTTCTAGTATATGGTTTCCAAGCAGTGGTCAGGTTAACCATAATTGCACCTTTTAGTGGACATCAGTGGGAGTAGTTCCTGGTTGGATACTCCCTATGCATTTTCCCATTCTGACCCAGACTAGGATGGATCTTGGCTTTCTTGCTGTGTGAGGGCTGTGCTGGCTTAGAAACCTAGACATGGGTGGCTGCTCCACCTAATTAGAACTTACTTGGTTACACTTATGTTTCCTGTAATCTCTTCTATTTGAAGACTGTAACTACACAGTGAAAGGATGATTATTCACTCAACAAGGGAGGCAGGCGTTTCGTTTTCACCATCATCACTTTGAGGGCTTGTGATACTAGTAATGCAGATGAAGGTCCCGTTACCATGTATTGTCCCTACCAGCCCCCTCTCAGTTGTAGAGAAACCTAGAAGATTTTGAGGTTTTGGACCTTTGATAGTTGGGGAACTAAGGCATTGCTGAAGAAATTCAAAATATTAGGTGACTGAGTCAGTAGCTTTGTATTTATCTTAAACCTGACTTTATTGGTAACTAGAAAAGGGAGAGCTGGCTTTAGAAACATTTTCTCCATTTTAAAAATCCAGGATCCCAGGATTCGTTTTGTGTTTTTGGTCTTTTCTGTTTAGTTTTAAAACATGATGAGGCTTTTTTCATTACCATCAAGTTTTATTCATTACAGTGCCAGGATACAGGAGATTGCTTCTAATAACTATTTAATTGAGGATTATGATGAATAATCATTTTCCTGGAATATCTTAAATTTAGGTCATTTGGGTATAGGCCTGCTTAGAGAATAGAGAGAAAATGTGTTTGTAGGTAGATAAATAGTTTTAAAACTTTTTTGATTTAAAAAAATTTCAGCATTATTTTTGTTTTTAAAACAAGAAAAAGCATAAAAAAGAGACGAAAAGACACTTATATTAGAAGAAACTACTATGACAGTTTTTTTCTTTTTAGCAAAGTTGACTGTCTACCACAGGGGTGGGCAAACTATGGCCTGAGGGCCGAGTTTGTCCCACCACTTGTTTCTGTATGGTCTGCAAGCTAAGAAAGGATTTTACATAGAAAAAAAAGTGATTTGTAGCACATGAAAGTTAGATGCAATAAAAATTCAGAGTCATGAATAAATTGGAATGTAGCCACATCTGTCTGTTTACATATTGTCTGTAGCTGTCTTCATGATACAGTGGCAGAGGTGACCGGTTGTGAAACCATATGGCTTGTAAGGCTTAAAATATTTGCTTTCTGACCCTTTACAGAAAAGTTTGTTGACCCTTCATCTATACTTGACCTGCTCAAAGTGCCTTGATATTAGGAACTTGAGCCAGAATGTAAATCAAAGCATTGCTTCTTTTCATCAAGAAAAGCTTGCTACAGAAAAAATGTCAGCGGTCTTCTCAGCGATGTAGTTGATTTATGTTCTGGTACAAGCTCCTTATATCATTGCAGACTGGTAGCTACTTTTGAGTAGTACTGATCTGTAATCTCTTGTATATAATTTTTATGTTTGTAAGTTTTTATTTTAATAAGACTTTAAAGAACTCTGGCTTATTAAGAAATGAGCTAGTCCAGTTTTCCTCTCCCTTAAGGCAGCCATTTTAACTCTTGGCAATCCAGATCTCTGAATAGAATGTTTATATTGCTCTTTTTTAAGTTTTTCAGTGTTAGATATAACTTATTCTCTTCATGCCATGAAAGATGAGGATTTAGTTTTTTCACTCATGCGTACATATTCACGGGTGTGCGTGTAGTTTTACCTAATCCTTCCATTAGGACTTTATCATAATTCTGGTTCAATTAATATTCAAAGTTTGGTGGGGAAATACTAATCACCATTGAGCCACATAGCATATTATGACTACTTTTCATCTCCTGCACAATTCTTTGTTTTACCTAGAGTTAATAATTTTAAAATGTAGGTGTATTTTGTTCATATGGATTAATTTAACCCTCAGAGTCTACTTGTCTGAACCTCTGAAGAGATTGATTTAGTCTGTTAATTTTATCTTTTTAACAGTACTTTTCAGGAGCCTTATGACCCGTACCAATCTGGACTAGTTCTTTTTCCTGATACAGAGCTGTCATCATTGGATTTCTTCACCATTATCCTGGGGTGTGGTTTTTGTTGTTGTTTTTTTGCCTTATCCCTGGGTCGAAACTATGTTTTGCTGAATTCCATGGCTTATGCTGCTTTTTTAAAAAATTTTAATTCTCACCCAAAAATATGTATGTTTGTTTTATTGATTTTATAGAAAGAAGAAGGGGGTGGGGCGGGGGGAGAGAGAGAGAGAAAAAGAGAAAAACATCGATGTGAGCGAGAAACATGGAACAGTTGCCTCCCATACGTGCCTTGACTAGGGATTGAACCCACAACCTAGGTATGTGTCCTGGTCAGGAATTGAACCTGCAACTTTTGGTGTATGGGACAACCCTCCAACCAACTGAGCCACTTGGCCAGGGTCCATGGCTTCTTTTTTTTACCATTTAATACTTTATTTTGGTGGCACAGATTATCTACCTTCTTGGGAAAAAAGTGCTTGATAGGTAAATATTTTGAGACATTTCATATCTATTCTATAATTACAATTTGATAGTTCATCTGGGTATAGAATTTTGTTAGAAGTTATTTTCCTTTGGAATTACGAAGACATTGCTTCACTGTCATTTAGCTATTAGAGAATTTTTGTTTTCTTGTTTTTTAGAGGTTTCAAAGTCATTCTGATTCCCTGTCCTTGTATGATTTTTTTTTCTTTCTGCAAGATCTTAGCAAATCCTTTTTTTCCCTGAAATTTCAGTGCTGCATTATGTTTCTGTGTGAACAGAGAGCTTTTTAAAAATTCTCTGAATGTTTTTCTTATTACTATTTTAAAAACAACATCTACTACTTGTTTCAGAAATGAATATCATATTAGCTTTCTGAGTAAATTATTATAATCTTTTGAAAAATTTCTTCTTGCATAGTCTATGTTCTCCAAGCTGTTTTTAATCCTCTTTGGTTATTTTGGTCCCTTATTTTTTTATATTAGAGGCTTTCTTTCTTTTTCTTTTCTTTTTTTAAAGGCTTTCTTAAATAGGAGGATTTCTCTTATTTAAGAATGAGATATTGAACACTGGGTCAGAAGCAGTGGACTTATGTATGGGTGCTTCTACCCTCCTAGCCCCCCCGCCCCCCAATATGTTTTTATTGATTTCAGAGAGAGGAAGGGAGAGGGAGAGAGAGAGAGTGATAGAAACATCGATGAGAGAGAAACATTAATTGGCTGCCTGCTGCACACCTCCTACTGGGGATTAAGCCTACAACCCGGGCATGTGCCCTGACCGGGAATTGTACCTTTGTCCTCTAAGTGCATGGGATAATGCTCAACCAACTGAGTCACACTGGCGAGGCCCAGGTGCTTCTTAAATAAGCTTTAAACCAATCCTAGTCTTGATGATTGGGGGAAGTCTGCAGTATAAATCAGATTGCTATTGTGTTTGTCACCACTGTTTCCATCCACACATCTGCATTCCAGCTTTCAGAGCTTTGTTGCTGTATTCTTTTCTCCCATTAATTTTTGTCTTTTTGAGCTTATGGGAATAAAATAAAATAAAATTTCTTTATATATTTAGAGGTATTTAAGGAAGGAACCAAAGTAAATGTTTGAGCTTGCTTCAGTTTGTAATTCTCCGTGCCATTGTGAGGCCACATCATAATTTATTTAACCAGTCTCCAATAGGTTGATATTCATATAGTTTATCATTTTTCCATTATTTAGAAAATGGAATAAATCTCTGTGTAAAGGACAGTTATTTCCTCAGGAATATTTTGGAGCATATTTGCCAAATAGCTCTTTAGCAATGTTAACAAGTGTATACCCCTCTGTATGTTCATTTCCTAATACGTTCTAGAACAGAGGTCGAACAACTTCTTAAAGGGCCATATAATAAAT